AGAGACAGAGTCTTGCCATGGCCATGTTGCCCAGTCTGGAGTGCAGTGGTGGCATGATCTTGCCGCACTGTAACCTCTGCCTCCTGGGTTCAAGCTGTTCTCATGCCTCATTCTCTCTTGTAGCTGGGATTACAGTCTTACACCATCGTGCTTGGCAAATTTTTATATTTTCAGTAGAGACAGGAGTTCACCATGTTGGCCAGGCTGGTCTTGAACTCCTGACCTCAAGTGATCCGCCTGCTTTGGCCTCCCAAAATGCTAGTATTACACGTGTGAGCTACAGCACCAGGCCATGTGCTACTTTTTCTTCCTTCCATCCTTCCGCCCTCCTTCCAGTGTAAATATGAGATTAATTTGTGATACTGTCCTTTAAAGAACTTAGAGGTCAGTAAAGGAAGCAGGTATAGAAAGTGCTATGATAAAGCTATACATAGGATGGTATAGAACCACAGACTAGAGGCACCTAAAATGGGCAAGAAAATAGCCTTTACAAATAAAATAGAAGCAAGAGATATAATGCTTTACTTGCAAAAAAACTATAAATACAGTCATGTACCATATAATGATGTTTCAGTTAATGAAAGACCACATACGAGGGTGGTCAGAACAGCAGGCTATACCATATAGCCTAGGTGTGTAGTAGTAGGCTATACCATCTGAGGTTCCTGTCAGTACAGTATGATGTCCATATAATGATGAAATCACCTAACAAAGCATGTCTCGAAATGTATCCACATTGTTAAGCAACACATGACTGTAGTTAATTGTTACAATTGAAATATTAGATGTACTTATTAAAACCCAGAATTCCCATTATCTGGATTATTATTTAATAATGTTCAGGAAATTTTGCCAGTGCAATGGTGCATTAAACAATGTCTTTTAGAAATGAGGTGGCCAGATTTCTATTTGCAGGTAATAATTGTATATCGAAAACTAGAAAAAGAAATGATTATAAATGGAGCTACTTAACCTTTACATGTTGAATGCTGCCACTGTTAAAATTTTTGAGGGGGTATAATAGAGAAACTATCCCATAGTTCATCTGGAAAAATAAGTAGGTGAAAATAGCTAAGAAGTTTTTGAAAGGGTAATATAAACCTAGATTAACTATTTTTGAAAGGTAGTACAGAACTGAATGCACAATTAGATATCAATGGTATGTACTCACCCAAAAAAGATTTCAGTATCATACATGTGAGGGCTTAAAACATTGTGATAAAGATGGGATCACAATGGGAATAGGATTATCCAATAAGTAGGGCAGGCATTCTCTGTGCCTGCTAGGGAAGTGTAACTTGTTATACTCTTTATGTACAGCAGTTGGCAGTCTGTGAAACTTAAATTCACATACATAACCTTTTGCTCTGCAGTTCCACTTCTAGAAATTTATCCTACCAAACAAAGCACATAGATGTGCAAAAGTATGTATTTACAAGTATATTCTTTGCAACTTGGTAATATCAAAGAATTGGAAGCAACCTAAATATCTGCCATAGGTAGGATAACCGTATGCTCTGGCTTTTTGAACACTATCAGTTTATACCTGCTGTTCTTGGTATAATTATTAATCGTGCTCCTTTCACTCTCAGTGTCTCACTTTAGATAATAAATTACACAGGATTGGTGAAACAAATTTCATTTGCCCAGTGGAAAAAGGAATGAAGAAGTGCTTTAGGTACTGAGATGAAAGGATCTCTAAGACATAATAATGTTTACTGAGAAAAGCATGGTGTGAAACTGTGTGGCATGCTACAATTGATGTATAAGAAGAAAAATGTGTGTATTCATATTTGTTTGTATATGGTAGACTGTCTCTGAAGATACACATGGAAGAACCTGATCACATTGGTAGTCTCCAAGGAGTGGAACTAGATACCTGGGGGATAAGGATCCCAGGAGTGCTCCTTTTCATTGTAAACTTCATTGTACTTTGAGTTTTTAACTGTTCAAAAATACAAAATTAGAAATAAAATATTTCAACAAACAATAAAATGGGATATTTGGGGAAGAAAGTTATCTCAGGGCCTCCAAAGAAGCAGAAGCAGTTGGATATATGAGTATTTATTTCAAGGAAGTGGCTTATGCGATTGTGGGGACTGGCAAGTCTAAAATCTGTGGGACAGGTCAGAAGACTGAAAAGTCTCAGGTAGGAGCTGAGGCTGTGGTTTGGGAGCAAAAGTTCTTCCTCTTGGAAACTTCAGGTTTGCTCTTAAAGCCTTTCAGTTGATTGGATGAGTCTCACCCACATTATGGAGGATTTTCTCTTTTTACTTAAATTTAAGGGATTATAAATGTTAAGTACAACTCCAGAATACGTCCACAGGAGTACCTAGATTCAAGTTTTATAATAGTTTTTTAATATAATAGTTTTTTAATAACTAGGCAATGTGTCCTAGCCAAGTTGATGCACAAAACTAACCTTCACAGTCCACTCTTAGTCAGCTTGGCACCTGTATGCATCTTTTTTGGGTTTTTTGTTGTTGTTTTGTTTTTTTGTGAGACAGTCTCACTCTGCCACTTAGGCTGGAGTGCTGTGGCCTGATCTCAGCTCACTATAACCTCTGCCTCCCGGATTAAAGCGAGTCTCCTGCCTCAGCCTCCCGAGTAGCTGGGATTACAGACGTGCACCACCACACCTGGCTAATTTTTGTATTTTTAGTAGAGACGGGCTTTTGCCATGTTGGCCAGGCTGATCTTGAACTCCCAACCTCAGGTGATCTGCCTGCCTTAGCCTCCCAAAGTGCTGGGATTACAGGCATGAGCCACTGCACCTGGCCTGTATGCATCTTAAACCATATTTTAGTCTCTATTCAAATAAAGACAGTAACTAGGTTGTACTTCTAACATGTACAACCACGAATATTCCCTGGAGGAGGTTTCCTCAGAAGTGGATGCAATCCATTCCCCAAAGGAGGATGCAAAGTCCTTGGTGATCACTTTTTTCCTTGCTATCCTGTACCTTAATACTGCGATGTAAGGATACTATTAATATATCTTACATTAGCTAAGAGGATAAAGGAGGGGGAAAAAGATTTGTTCAGTATATATATGTGTGTATGTGCAATATATACATATTTGTATACATAAGTACACAGACATAATCACAGTTCTTGTTTTGGCAATTCGACATGTGGTTGTAGCTGGTATTTTTAACACCTTGCATTGCCTATTCCATATTTCCTTGCTCTCAGCAAGCAACTTGTCTATTTGGGATTCTGCCTGGTGAGATATTCCAAACCTTCATTCCTGAAGAATCTGAGCCATTCGTTGTCCTTCCTGTATTGGGTTTTAAAGTTTTCCATTGACTTTAATCAGGGCTTGGTAAAACAGATCTAGTGGATCTCCTGTATTCCAGACATACCCTTCTTTATTTCCTTGTGCAGTAGCAGCCCAGTTTCCCCAGGCAATCAGGACTAGTCACCATAGTCAGTACAGTAATTCTCTTCTTTATGTGTTGATTCAGAGGCATGAGGAGTGCAAAGTGGCAGAGTGGTAATCTTAATGTCCAGTTTAATAGAATCATTGTGTCTCCTGGTTGAGGTATTACTGGTTTTGGAACAAAGTCTGCTAGAACTAAAGAGCATAGGAACTTGGGGACAGAAAACAAAAATCATGCCAGTGGACAAGGGGTGATAGTGAGTGGCACAGCTCCCATTTCCACCCCTTCATTGCTGGATCTGTGAATCCTGGCTCTGGAAGAAAGAACACCATATATTGGATGCTGATTTTACAGCATATATAGCCTCCTGGAGAACATTGCCTCAGCCCTGCAAGATACTGCCACCTACCTAGTGCTGTAACTGAGCTTTCAAAAGGCTATTCTACCATTTTCTCAAGCCAGCTGCTCCAGGATTATGGGCAACATGGTAAGACCAATGAATTACATGAGCAATATAGAAAACAGTGTTGCCTCCAAATTCCAAAGATGCTTGTTAGGTATGTACTGTTTTTTATTTTGTTTTGTTTTGTTTTTATTGTCAGAGGGCCAGATGCAACAAGTTGTTCTTTACCTTAGGAGAGATATCTTGACATGTCCCACAACACTGGACCCCTAGAAATTTTGGTAAATTGGAAGGCACTTGAATTTTTGTCATATTTATTTCCCACTCTCTGAGACAAATGTCTCACCAATATGTCTAGGGTATTTGCTACTTCTTGTTGACTAGGTCCAGTCAACGTAATGTCATCAATGTAATGGACGACTGTGATGTCGTGTGGAAGGGAAATGCGATCAAAGACCCTGTGGAGAAATTATGACATAGGGTGAGAGAGCTGATACACCCTTGGGGTAGGACAGTAAAGGTATGT